AATATGCTGAAATAAAAAAGAAAACCCGTGTTCAACCAGGAGTGAACCCTAATGTAAATTATCGACTCTGGCTGATAATGATGTATCGATGTAGGTTCATCACTTGCAACAAACGCACCGCTCTCCAGTGTGGAGGATGTTGATAAGCAGGAGGCCATGCCACTGGGGAAGCCAGGGATGTATGGAAATCTCTGCACCTTCTGTTCAATCTGCTGCAAACCTAAAATTGCTCTAAAAAATGAAGTCTAATAAACAAAAATTTTTAACTATGTTCACACAAAAAGCTGCATATGCCTATAGAATGGGAAAAAATTCACTCGTCACTCAATATCCACGGGGGGTTGGTTCCGGGATCCCTGCAGATACCAAAATTTGTGGATGCTCAAGTCCGTTATATAAAATGGCACAGTATTTTCATATCACTTATGCACATCTTTAGCAGGAATGTAAGGGTAATAAGAAAAAAAAAACTCGTGCACATCCTCCCAGATACTTTAAATCATCTCTAAATAACTTATAATACCCAATATGATGTAAATGCCATATAAAAAGTTGTTATACATTTTTTATTTTTGTATTTTTAAAAATTTTATTGTTTCCAAATATTTTCAATCTGTGGTTTATTGAATCTATGGATGCAGAACCCACTGATACGGAGGGTTGACTGCGTTCGCAAATCATACACCTCCTAAGGAACTAATATTCAGAATACATAAAGAACTCTTACAACTCGACAATAAAAAGACAGATAACCCAAGTAAAAACATGCTGAGCGAAAGAAGCCAGACATAAAAGGTCACAAATTGTATGATTCCGTATATATGAAATGTCCAGAATTTGCTTTCTCTTCCCCTGGAGGTCAGGGAAAGAAGGAATTTTGGAGGTGACGGGACTGTTCTATACCTTGATTGTACTGTTGGTTATGTTAAAAGAAAAAACTTTAGGAAAGTTAAATGTAGCAGGGTTTATTTGAGCAAACAGCAATTTATGAATTGGGCAGCCCTCAGTCCCAGAAGAGGTTCAGAGAGCACCACTTAGCCATGTGGGCAGACAATGTTCATAGACATAAAAAATAAAAGGCATACAGAAACGGCTTGATCAGTTACAGCCAGGCACTTGCTTCAGACGGACATGGTCTGGTCAGCTGGCAGCCTGGGACTGGCTGAACTTCCGCTGCTGTGATTGGCTGAGATGCAGCTATTTGTTACAAGAATATACTGTTTGGTTGCAGTTTGTTTACATACGAAGTCAGGTTGGAGTTTGCTACACAGGGATTCAAGATACGGAGGCAGCTTTAGGTTGAATCTAACCTAACAGTTACACGACTGGCTGTATTCATTTGACAAAACTCATAGAACTCTACACCAAAAAGGGTAAATTTTATTGCAATTTTTTCTTAATGAAAACGATAGCAAAACTAATTAGAAAGGCCTCCTTACTCCCTGTTGCGTCGTGACTGAAGTTGAGATTCCTACACCTGATCGGACACTTGGCAGTTTGATTATGCCTTGCCCCTATAGCCACAATGAATTATTGAGCACCTACTGTGTGCCAGACACTGTCCTAGTTCTTGGTAATATATCAGTGAACAAAGCCAGGTCTCAACTCTCACGGATTTCACATTCTAGTGGGCAAGGAACCAAATAAAAACACAATTAGACAGGAGTGCTAAGTTCTAGAAAGAAAAATAAAACAGGGGAGGGATCGAGAGAGATGAGGGTGGGTAGTCACCTGAAGGAAGTGAGGGAACAGGCTGAGTAGGAAGAGAGTTCCTGGCAGGGGCCATAGCATGTGCAAAGGCCCTGAGGCTGGAATAAGTTTGACACAGTGGAGGAAGGGCAAGGTGGCTTGGTGCTGTGTAAGGACTCTACAAACATGAACTCTGATTAGTTAACTGCTCATGTCTGCCAGCCACCAGAGGCTGTTTCTCTGACACTCCAGCTCCAATAATGGGTTTGATGTTATTTTACATTTCCAAGAAGTCATTTTTCATGGCATAGGTAAATTGATTTTATCTTTGTACGGATCAATTCCACCTTCGCTGTTACAAACAATATGCAATGATACCTTTTGTAATATAGGATATAGCACATAGAATCATTATCACAACAATACTGCACATCATTAACCATCGGGGAAATGCAAATCAAAACCACAATGGGATATCACCTCATACCTGTCAGGACAGATGTTTAAAAACAGGACAAATGTTGTCAAGGATGTGGAGAAATTGGAACCCTTGCACTGTTGGTGGGAATGCAAAATGGTGTAGCTGTTGTGGAAAACAGAATAAAGGTTTCACAAAAAATTAAAAATAGAACTACCGTATGATCCCACAATCCTACTTCTGGGAATTTATCTGAATTTATCTGAAAGAAATTGCAA